AAGTACCACAATAATAAACTAGGACGAAAAAAGATGCTTTAGCATAAAACACATGGCATTCAAGTCAACATCCTCTATCCATGAATTTGACGGAATTCGTGCTTAAATTTTAGACAATATTGATTCAAAAAACACGAGACGCCAAATGGAATTCCCTCGAGTCTCGAAGAATGATTTAATAAAATACAGTACAATAATACGCATCATGTTCATTTCATGCAGCTCACCGTGTTGATCTCAATTTTATAATAATTTCCACACAAAAATCCGAATACATCAAGAGGCGACAAAGCAGCATGCCTAATTTTGATCAGAATTTCTGATCATCCGTAAAAGGGCATCAGGGCAATGGCCCTGATGAAAATAAAGGTTCGTCTGATACAGTACCTAGATTTTCTTATACGTTAACAGCCTTCATGCAAATATTCTCTTCGGATATTTCCTTTTGCATAGACAATGAAAGCATTGTATACCACTACTTTGCCTCCTGACGCGAAGAGTTGTATGAATGTATGCAGGAGTGCATTTCTTCGCTTATCTCCACGCATTGATTTGTACGTCGGGCAAAAAATAAAGAAATGCACAGAAGATCGAAACATTTTGCCAATCTGTACACAAAGCAGTGGCAGGTATTCTAGTAAACCCACATTAGGAAAACAGCACATGCCCACTGTACGAACTAAGATACAAAAGAAACTTGTGATGTATCCGAGTTAAGATTAACATCCCGGAAATTCCCTGTCAACATCTGGCAAAATAAATGTACGGAACTAACATTACTCCATGGATTACAAATTAATTTTAGGTTACGAATTGAATTTGTAATTTACACATAATAAAGTGACTTAAAAATTTGTGGATCTAAAATTCCGACATGCTGTAACGGATTCCAACGCCGAAAAAATAAACCTTACAAGAATTCCAACTTGAACTTTGGTCACAAAAATACCATACATGAACTAGCCGGAGGATCAGATCAACATAAAGTAAATGCTGGATACTGATATCGAATCAATGAAAATCGGACTACGGTACATTAAACGTCGAATCAATGAGATCGCTATATTCCTACACAAATTACGTAAGACATTCGGAAAACTTATGTGATTAGTGGAAAAACTGAAATCCCACGTCCATTGAAGGCTAATTTCTAAATTCAGGGAATCCATCGCATACAGTACTAAATTAGGAGCCCTTACACACTCTCCCGTCAAAACTTCCGGCACGTCAAAAATGTTTGAAAATTTCTTGTTCCAAACATTCGTCAGCGAAATTCTGTCAAACCTCTTCAAGTCGAATTTCAAGGGACCAGCAAAAAAATCAAGTTACGGAGGTTTCGAGTTTGAGAAAACACAATTTTGTTGGAAGGGGGGGGGGAAGAAAAAAAGAATTACTGTACAGGGTACTTGGTGATATTCTGGGAGTCGAACTGCTTCTTAAATGAGTTGACAGAATGCTGAACTTGGAGCCAGGAGATCATTCGCTCAATTAGTCTTTCACTTCCTCTCAAAACAGATCAGTCTACCTTTCTAATGCTTTTTCTTTTTTCTTGGTTCAATAAAATAATAAATAAAGGATTCCTGCGAATTTGGGCTATGGAGGTTTGAGGGGAAAGTCTTCTAATTAAAGAGGTTTTCAATACATTGTTTCAGACAGGGTATTTAGACAGGGACCTGGAACATTTTTAACAAAGGGAGATACAGTATTTTACTCACGGAGATTCGAGTTACCTAGGTTCAACCACCTTGGAGTCGCAAAATGAGCATATTTCCTGGATTGTATTTAAAACTGAATCAACCGGAGGCTTGTTTAGAAATTTTCGCCATCGTGGTCTTCGATTCCCACCGATCCGAATTGCAAATTTACAATACAAATGAATGAAACACGTGGATTTGAAGGTGTAAGAATTACCGAATTCAAAGACGTTTTTTTTTTAATCACGTACGGCATTTTTTTCGATTCCTTCGATTTATCCACGTCCAAATTGAACTTCCACCAGCAAATGTAATCCTACCAAATCCAACCACACAGTTCCCACAGAACTTCCGATGCAGTTTAACGTACAGGTACTTAACATTCAAACTTTGGGATCTCGAAAGCAGCCCTGTGGTGCAATAACCACAAAACGTGCATGGTCATGAACAATAGACGAATCAAGTTAAAATGTTCGAGAAAAAAATCTTTCAAGTAAGAACAATGAATTTCTCATCCGAGAAACTGACCTGTTGCACTTTTTTGGGAATGATCTCTTCAGCCTGATTTTCCATGGACTCGGACGAAACGGATGGCACTTCTTCCTCTTCCAAAGCAATCTTTCTGATTTCATTCGCAAGAAGTAGCACGTCGTCTCCAGAACTTTCGATCACCATATTCTTCTCGTTGTAATATGCGAAGCATTCGGGATCGACGACAAGAAGATCCACAGTCTGAGGGTTCGCTTTGATGCGCTCGACGACTTGCAAATGATTCTCGTTGTTGATGTTGACACCGTTGACTTCGACTATTCTATCACCTTGCTTCAGGCCAGCTTTCTCCGCAGGCGAATCGTCGTCGATTTTTCCTATGAACTGACCCGGTTTACTTTTTATAGCTTGCAAGTGGAACCCGTAGCCGTCAAAATCCGGCCACTTTGTTATCCGACACAGCCTCGGTTGCGGAACACTTTTCGCAGTCATCGTTACCAAACTTTCGCAAAATATAAGAGAGCGCGATTTAAACTGGGGAGACAAGCTGCTCCGTCAACAACAATTTTTTTTGGAGCGGTAATCACGGACACATTTAAAAAAAAAATCACGACAAAAAGCGATCTCTCGGCATCTCACAACTCTAACATGTTCCAATGGTGCACGGATAAACGTAAAAAGCGATCAAACGCTCCATGGGACAAACTTTCCACATTTTTTACGAACTTATATTTCTTTTATTTTCGCATAAAATTGTGGGAGTCGACTCAGAGCGAGCCTTCTACGCGCCAGACGAGCGATGTGAATTGTACGTACGGAATAATAAATTACTTATGGTTGTTGCACGTAGTGACGCATGCCTACAGTACTAAAATTCGTGTTAAGATTTTTGAAATGCTTGCTTTCGTACTGACTGATTTTTGCGACGTGTGATTGATAATTTGTTCAGGATAATATATACCTTACAGAGTAATCCCAGCGAGGAAATCGTTGGGAGAGATCTGAAGTTTGTTCCAGTTAATTACAAATGGATGAACTGAAATCCGATGCCAAAAACGTTTCAGTTATGTATTGATCTTCCCGAACACTTCCGATTCAATTTTGTACCTTTTCGCTTTAGTTTTTTTCCTCAATTTATTTTACCAGCACTTCCGCAAAATCTTGTGCGGAATGCTCCGGACGAACTCATGCGATGATATCATAGAATTTCAAAATCCAACTCAAAATCACAGGGGACAATCAAGATGACGACATCGTCACTAGAATTATTTCCAACCAGAATCATAAACTCGTCGACACAAAAAAAAAAAAAAAAGAAGCACGAAAGCGTTTTTTTTTCCCCAGCAGGATGAAACAAGGAAGGGAGATATTTGAATGAGATGCTTCTCCGATTATATGAGCACTTTTTTGGGGGGAGCAGATCATGCACACGAACACACCAACCGCGCGCTTGAGGAGCCGTGCGACGAATGAGACACTTCCCGCGAAACGCTGAAAGCCAACGGAGGATCGACACCCGTCACATTGTTGACTGCACATATATAAACGCCCGATCCGCCGACATGCGACTTATTCTGACCGAAACTACTCGGAACTGGAAAAATTCTCAGGGCAATCGCGAGATCACCAGAAAAAAGGAAACCAAGAAAACTCGATTATTCTCACGCACCTGGATATTTTGCAATCTTAGCCAAGTCAAAAAATTAATTTTCAAACGAATACGATAAGACCAGCGGGCGACGTTGAACGGGTTCGCTGCTTGTCGTGACTTTTACCGACTTGAGAGATTGGACTTCATAAACACGGGGAACAGATACTAGCAAGAAAGTTTCATAAGTGCGAATATTAGCTTCTTTATAAATTAATCGAGTAAATCGTAAAAATCTTCTCGGCAGACGAAACAAATATTGTGACGCAAGTGTGAGCAGTACTATGCATATTTTAAAATCTCCTCGCCAAATTTGCTGAACATGACTTTTCATCTACATGGATGAGAAGACTCATTAACTTGGAAAAAGTCCGTGAATACACTGTTTCCCCGATCCACTGTTCAATTTAGAGGTCTTGTGGCGTGGCCATTGCCGAGGTACTGCAGTACCTACACTCGAACTTAAAATCACACCACAACGCGTGCTAGAACTTCACCGGGAAGAATTCTTGTAGCGTTGCACGACTGACTGACATATGTAGCTCGACATGATGTAACAGGGCGCTTTAGGTTTTACATCAAAGAGCTTTACCATTCTGCATTAAAGTTCCCCCAGACCCCTGTAGGATCCTCCCTCTGCACATTCCTCAGTCCTCACACACTGCGGACGTTAAAGGTTTGGTGTAGTACAGTTCTTGTACCTAGTGTTACTCATTCCACAATAATACAAATTGATCACAATGGTCTGGTCAATTAAAATTCCACCAATCTGAATAGGAAGTAATTTATCTCACACTCATATCAGACAAAAGCATCGGTGCAAAATTTTCCGTACACTTGTCCAGAATTTCAAAATAAGACACAATCTTTAATAGCAGTTTTATTGACCAAAAATCACTATGCTTCCGCTTGAGGATTTCTTTTTCCGGCTGCAAAATAATTTCGAACACGTGTAGGTATTTCATGATAAGAAAGAGAATTGCAAACCACGAGAAAGACGATATCAAACCAAAAAATAAGCCCACGCCCCAAATAAGTCACCTACTCAGAGCGCTGTTTCATGTCAAAAGTCCGAAGAAAATTGCCAAATTCAGTACTCAGTGCGCCATTTCTTTTTCTCTCATCAGTCGGAAATCACATCCATTTTCAATCAAAATAAAATCATACCACAATCAGCAAAAATCACGTAGGCAAACAAATATATTTCACTGGTACAGTATACGGTATTCTTCATAACCCATATCGAGGATACCAGCTTTCCCACATCAATCAACGTGATTCGAATAAGGTCAAAACATCCGCACAACACCTTTCATCTACATATTGCAATCGAATCATGCAGAATCAAAGTAATATATGTTCTGATATAGAATGCCCAAAGCAATGCTGACTTAGCAACGTGAAACTAAATTCAAAATAAAGAAATCCGGCGGGATGATACAGTATTATTACAGAAACAGCATTTTGGAAATGTGAAAGCCGCATAAAAAGCTCAGTTCGGAATGGACCATTTCAGAAGGAAAACTGTTTACATTTTTCAGCTATCTAATATATTTCAACCTTATTTCATAATGAATTTAGTATACCCCGCTGAATTTGTCGTGATAGTGGGAATTGAGTCATGATTTAAGACTACCTATCATATTTGGCGTTTCTCACGAGTGTAGATGCTTCATTTAATGAATAAGTCATTTGTTCTAGATCTCGATAATTTTCGCATATAAAATACTGTACATTCTTCCTCAATTCTTCGTTCATCGAGTTCAAGCACTCAACTGAAATTTAAACCAAAAATAATACCTTATACTGTAATTAAATTGAATATTTATGCTGCAAATCATGCCATTTTGCGTGAAAGTTCATCGAATCTCGGGCGTTGAAAAAATTTGAGATGAAGACATATATTAAACAGGTTTCCAATTTTCGAAGCTCAAAACTAATGGGGGGGTCCGAATATATTCGAATATATATGCGATTTACGTAAATTAATGTGTAATGTGCGTATATATCAGGAAATATTTCTGTTGGTGCGGTTGGTGCCCCACAAAACGAGCGAGAACTTCGTATTTTCTTCAGTTCTTTTGGAATTGAAAAAATTAAAATATGGTCGGCTTCTATATTTGAAGATGCATGAGTCATGTACGGAAGGGGAAGAGCAAAGAGGGTTATGTGACACTGTTGTTTTTTCTCTTCTGCGGAGAATCTAAAATTTTTTTTTTTTAATTTAGTTCCTGGACAGTCAGAAACCCAAGAAAATGAGAGCTCGTGGAGTCCTTATACATTCGCCGATACTATTAATGGAATTCTAATTTTGTGCATGAAAAATCTAGGAGGGTGGTTATATTCAAGGGGTGATTAAATTTGCGTGAATACGTTTCTCATGAGCGCGATTCGAAAATAAATGGAGCAAAAAAATGTGTTCCAGTGTAATACAATATAATTAAGTGATTCAAATTGTTTCAAGATTGAGCATATAGATTTATGTGAACATTATTATGCACACCCTTCAAAAATCTTCGCTGGTTGCCAATGGAGCCCGTTTCAGCAATCCAGAGAACCCCAATTCGACCTTGGAAGTGCTCGCAGATTTTCTCAAGCCAGACGACGCCGACGTTTTAATAATTTGCAAGTGAGCCGGTTTCGGCACTATCTTCGGTTTCTCCGCAATTTTTGGCTTGCTGCCCCCATTACCACAACTATAATTTCCGAAATTCCCATTCGGCGAAGATGTTAAAATCATTGTCGTCACACCAGCACTACTATTACCGACACCACGATTCGACAGCGAAGGAGACGCCGTCGTCGAAGTTTCCGTCGACGTAGAACTTTCAACGGAAACACTTCTCTCAAAGTTGAGTCCCTTATTGAAATCTCTAAATCTGTCTTCTTCGTCATGATCTCCATCGTCATCGTCGTCTGCGTTAATTAGTGACGATTGCATGTCGTTTGTGGATTTCGAGCGCTCAGTTTCTACTCGTGTCGACCAAGAATTGGGTGTCGGCGATGAAACAGCGTTGTTTGACGACGATGATGTGAATAGTGTCACGGGTTTACGAGGCGTCGAAGTGATTTCAGCTGCTGGCACCGAAATTATTATCTTGCCGGATTCCAAAGTACGCTGTTCGCGGAGTTTGAGTTGATAAGCCACTTCGAAGGCCTGGCCCAAAGTCAAGATAACCTCGGATGAATTTTCCTGGTTCACGGGTAGAAGAAGGAAAACAAATAAAACCACAGAATATTCCATCGTAGATTTTCAGAAATGAATCAGTCCTTCAAAAAAAAATGATTGGAGATAAAAGCTAAATATAACTTTGCAGACGACTCGAAAATTTCTGCAGTCAACAGCATTGATTCCTTGTTTATCTTTCCCATGCAGATGAAGGAATAAAATATGTGAAGGCTCGTCTCTCGAAGTTGAAATAACTTTCAACCAACTTCCTTCATTCACGGTTTACAAACGAAGAAAAAAGCTGACACAGTTTCATCATATTTTTAGAAAAAATCAAACTGATCGTTAAAATATGAATAAGCGGAAATTAAAGCTAAATATATGCACTGGTATTAATTGCAGAAAGTTCAAACATTACTGACATTGTGTAACATTGATTCCTTTTCCCCGAAAAATAAAGAATCTCGACTTTCTTGGATCGAATATTCTAGCAAATTTCTAAAAAACATTTTGTTGCGAAAACAAGCGCAATTGAAAATTTTCAATTGAAACCTACATCATGAACATAAATTTTACTCAACATTTTTGACTTGTCGCTTTGGGAAAGGCACTACTGCTGTATCCAAAGGTTTCTTTTACTCCAACATCTAGTCAATGTTTCTTGGATGACAAAAAGGTGTCGCCTGAACCACTACAAAAATGAAAACAAAGGAAGATTACCTGCTCACTTCAAGGGTTGGTTTTACCACTGCACTGTAGTGTTTTTGTACGAATGTTTATGTAATTTAATGCAATCCCTGAAATGCTTGCCTTCAGATAGTGATTCAACCAGACTTTATATGAAAGGAACTAAATAAAACTTGACCTGCGTGTAACGCACCAGCAGTTAACGAAGAAATCCTGCAGTTATTGAAAGACAAGCAGATATACAGTATTTTGCTAAATATTGCATCTCAAAAATTATTTTTACCATCACGACAAACTTCTTCAAAGAAGGACGTGTGATGAATTTTTATTACTGTACACGATAGTTATTTTTTCAATTATCAAACATATAAGGCGAACTATATACAGCATTCCGTTTTCTCGTCGCTATGCGAAATTCGTGGGTTTGTGTTCACTTGAATTCCGAAGAAAAACTTTGAAAATAATCCCTCATGGATTGAATTTGACAGCTATATTGCTTATGAAGCTTTTACTCTTGTGATCGGTGAAGTCATCTAAATTCATTCATGCTTAGTACAATTTTCTTTTTCAGATCAAACTTACTGCTGTCTCAGACAGGAACACGTGACAGTAGTGATTTCCACTGAGTTCGTCCAGTATGATATAAGCGAAATATCGGAGATCAACGTCATCTTGACAAGCGCTGTTGATGTTTCGAACATCATGCTCACATAAAACTCTCTGTAAAAAAGAGGTCAGAAATTATTGTACTGATGTACCTTCACTACTCATAAAAATCGCGAGAAACAGCTCAAATTAATGCACACCAGCGTCTTCTGAAACATTTACGCATTTTTTTTACAAGGATCGTCTTTTTTTACCTTTGAAAAAACGTCAACGACTTGAACACCGACGCAGGAAATGCGCAAAGCGACTTCGGTTTTCTCCTTGTCACTGGAAAATGCAGATTTTCTCGACTTCCGTATTGTCATTCGAGATGAACGGATTCCTTCCATGTGTTGGATCACAGTTGACCCCAAATACTGGAAGGGAAAAAATGTCAACAAAAGCATTAAATCAAACTCAGGCATAAGAAATACAAGGAGTTATCTATTTTAAGCGTAATGAAACATTTCCTTCCCATATTGAAACCTGAGCAATGTATGTACAGTATTTTCCCCAACAATAAATAAGCGACTTCAATCGCTCAAAAATACTGCGAATCTAGCTGTTATTCTTTAATACTGTACTCTAAAACTATTGATTTTATCCATCTGACAATGATGAAATTCAAGTAAAAAAAGCGCGTAATTCAGAGAGATTCAGCATAGTATTTTCCGCGCAGAAATGAATAATTCATTCGAAAACGTGATCACGAAATACTGAAGTAAAAAACAAGGATATCACATAGTTTGCTTTATTTATGATTCAATTCTTCTCCTTTACATAAATTTGAAAAGGCAATACTTTGATTTTGCGCAACCTTACTTTTTCTATAAAGCTTAATAAAATTAAATTTAGATAAATCGGAATTTTCCTACATGCATCTTTCTTTCTCGCCGTTGGCTGAAATATAATAATCAGGTATTGTACAGCATTATCTATCCTTGCGGCGGCAGTTGATCACTGAACCTAATTACAACGTGAATTAAATCAATCCCGGTAGCGCAGCAACGCCGATCAAGAAGAAATCAATTAACCGAGGAATTTATACGGAACCCGGGTTGTTATCACGCCATTATTAAAAAAAAAAGTTGGTAATCCACATCCGCGAGATTATCAAAGAGCGTGAATAAAATTCATGGCGTGCTGATGAGCGAATCGTCATTATTGTCTGTTGCCATTTTATACCAGAGCGGAGTAATCACAGCTGCCATCAATCAAAGCCCCGGGGGAGTGTTGCCAAGCCACTGGCAACTCGGCTCCAGACACAGCAATAACCCGCGGTTCCCGAAGCGTCAAAGGCATTCTCGACGATGACGACGACGACGGGAGTGTCGACGTGGATAACGCGTCGTCTTCCGCGTTATTGACGTTGCCCGGAACCGACACCGTCACCGTGCCTAATTCTGAGTGGGAATGCTGAATGAAACCCGTTCCAGCTAATGTCGATGCTGCTGCTGCAGTGGATTTGGGCTTGTTGCTGCTCATCATGTTGAGGTTATTATTGTGATGATGATGATGATGCTGATCCTTGTGTTTCCATTTATTGGAGCCAGGTAGACTAGGGCTGGACGATGCGGAAGAGGATGATGGTGGGGTTGAAAAGCCGAGTCTTTCTCTCAGTTCTGATTGGTACTCGTTGATCTCGTTGTTCTGAAATCAAAGAAAGAAGTCTCGAACACTTTCCCGTTGAAAGAGTGGAAATCTAAAGAATAAATTAATTTTTAAATTTTATAAAATTTATAACAAAAATTTTGTCATAAATAGTCAAAATATAGTCAAAATTTATAACAGGTCCAAAGCATTGCAAAAATTTATGTCCCAGATTCGCCATTGAATTACAGTAGAACCTCTTCGAACCAAACTTACAAAGGGACTAGAAAAAAAAATTCGAGTTAGGTAAAGAAGCATTTTTCGGCGGAAATAAGGAAGAAGAATTACAGGACATTGTAAACTTATAGGCAAGAATTCGTCGGCCCAATTAATCTTTCAGCTCCTTTCAAAGACCACATCAAGTTAAATTTTTATTCCTTTTCTCTTTCCTGTGTCAATAAAATGATGGACAAAAAACTCCCATAAAATTTCGATTCACGCGGAGGTTTGAGGGAAAAAGCCTTTGAATTAGGGAAGCTTTTCAATCAATTGTTTCTATAAGTGAATTCAGACAGGAACTTATAAAAAATGTTTACATTGAGACGAGATATTCGACTTGGGGAGGTTCGAGTTATTGAGGTTCAACTGAATTTATTGAATTATGGGGCACTTGTGAAATACGAAATAAAGGCTCTTATTAACGAATATTTTTTTGCAGAAATTGCGCTATTAATTAGCCTTTGAATAGTATTATTGAACTATACAGATCATTATTGAAAGACATAATTTATCACGAGCGTTGTGCAGGCACAATTAAGCTTCCTTCAGCATCTAAAATATGGCCTTTCAAAATGTGCTCGTCGTGCATCAGGTACATCAATATAGATCAATATGCTTTCAAATATAGATCAATGTGTGCAGTTCATCATAATGAGTCCCTTTTTACTCACGAGTTTACTAAGACCAGCAGAAACGTCGTGGTCCTCGAAAACTCTCTGCTGGAAGTGTTGAGATGGCATCAGCGAAGTCAAACTGGACGACAGACTCGATCTGGATCGAGTCTTACTGGCTCTCGATTCCGTTGTACTCGTCGCAACATTAACGGCTCGGTCGTGGTCTCTCACGGTACCATTTTCCTTGTGTTGGTTTTCCAACCAAGCCAAAATACGCTTTTTGTGACCAGGAAGGTGGATGTCAAGCGTGGTCGTCAATTCGACTTCCCACAGACGACGAACCGCATTCATGTCACTGACTTTCGATAGGCGGAACTTCGGTGCGTATGATTCCAAGCCGAGGAAACAGAGCCATGATTCCACTGTCAGGAAGTGTTGTTGTTGATGATGATGATGATCCTGGTCAGTTGTAAACGACTTTACGGATTTGTTCGTCAAGGACGTAGAGGTTGTTGCAGAGCTTTTTACGGATGTGAGTTTGCAGGGCAGTTTTCCGGCTTGCTCTAGAATTTTTCGACGAGTTCTTGGGTCCCGGATTCCCATTTCTTCCAGGTCTGATTCTTCCAAAATACCGTTTCCCTAAAAAAAAATAATATTATGCCTTAATTCATTGTTTTCGAGGAATAGAAATTAAAGAGTTTCAACACTTAATTCCTCGGCAACGCTGCACAAATTTTCACCTCAAGTCCAACCGGTTCCAATGATTTTAGTTTTATAATACAGTACCTGCATACATTTTCGGAACACAGCGCACTACAGTATTTTCAAGTAATCCAATTGATCAAAAGATGAGTACAGTTTTTGATAATGTTGTTTTTATCCCAAAAAACCACATTTATGCAGTAGAATGTGATATTGTATTCAATTATGAAATAAAATGTATCGATTACTGTCTGGTTGTGCACTTTTGCTACTTCCTTCATCACGTGGCAGCTGAATGTCCCGAGGAAATTGATGCATTTTCGACGACATGATAACATTTTTCAAGCTTGCAAATTTTGATTTAAACCCTTGTCATGAATAGAATGCAAAATCCAAATTTGAGCTGATTGTAGACAATATCTAATTTTTTAAATGAGGAAAAAAAATGACGACGGTGTATGGTGTTTTTGATGTCAACCTTTTTCATTGTCCTGAAATTCACATAACCACCGGACTGACGCATGTTTTAGGAAATGCATGAAGAAAATGTAGTACTGTACTATACTGTATTGAGTATACAGTATTGTACATTAAAAACATTTACAAAGTCATTGAAAAAATAATTGCTAGAGCATCGCTTTTAATAATTAGTCCAGTACACTTCCTCACTTAATTTAAATTTTCATTATCAATTACAGTACAGTATTTCATTGGTTCACATGTTTCCGTTCTACAAACAAATATATTTTGATGGTTACTTTGCACAGAATATGCAGATGTCACTGGCAGTCACAATTGTATTTGAGTTTTACGTTGACGATGAATTATCCAAAGCTCCATCTTATTTCTCTTAACTATGTTTATATGCGGAAAGGAGGAAAATTGGGATCGTTCTCGAGTTTCTGTGATTTTTCATAGTACATAGTCATAATGATCCAATTTCCAAAAGGCTTTCCAAAACATGTTTGAATGCATATACAGTATCGTACAGTGCATAGTACAATTTCAATGGTGCGTTAAATACAGTGAATCGAGGAGGTAGAAAAACGGAACGTTGAGTTGCCTCTATTTCGGCAGGATTGAAAGAATTTTTAAAAAAGTTTGCCAAAAAAATTAATTGTCAGATCAACTTCATTAGAAATATTTTACTGACCAGAAATTGGACGTTGTCGAATCCATTTGACAGGAAATGTGGAACCAGGTCCTGGTGTCCAGTCTGAGACAACCACCGGCTCAGTTCCTCGGTTGTTTCTCTGGATTCTGTTCAAATAATTGGAAAATACAGGAGAAATTTCCTCATTAATTATTTTATAAAGACCCCAAAAGGCAAATAATTCATTAGCCTGGGGATCCTGCTAAGTACGTAATCATCTAGTCTTCTAACATCAACGGTGAAACAATTGTATTCAATCCAATTTTTTCATTTGAGAAACTACCGGTGAATTTATATGATAAAATATGCATGATTATTTTGTTGAAAAATTATTTCGAAGGATTTTGACAGAAACACCTAACAGACAACATGCAATAAAAATCTTACTGCGACGAATTTTCAAGATTCTTTATAAAAAAATTCCTCTTTGGTGGATTGTTTCATTATTCCCAAAAATTCTTCAAATTTATGAATTTATGAAGGCATCAGTTTTGTATATACTGATTTTTTATATTAAATTTTATATTCACGTAATATTTATACCAACCCATATTCACTGCTCAGCAGTGACATTTTTTTCTACTTAAAACAAAGCTAAAGATTATGTTAATAAAGAAGAATCTCCGGAAGATTTTTTTGTATTCGGGCAACTACATATTTGGTGTGACAAATCTTTTCCTACGCCTCTTGTGACACTTTGCTTTACTCTTGTTAACGTTCCGATGCAGCCATGATAAAAGCTCATACCATATACAAATAATAAAGCCATCTTTAATTTTTAAATCCGAATTTTTCATGGCAATCTTCTCTTTTTTTCCGCTGAGTTTTTGTCATGTTTTAACACGCAGTTGCATCTATTTGGTGAACGAGACTAAAATGTCCATATTGCAAAATTTACTTTTGAATGCAGGCGTTTCTGCAGGCGGATCAGCAAAACCGCGACTTCTTTCATTGTCAATCTCCAACAAGGGCTTCTTCTGCTCATTTCCGGGCAGAAGTTCGTGATTGAAGGATTGAATGATGTCCGTGATTTTATTCCACTCTTCCTTCTCGTCGAACGAAGGCGTCGCGTGGAAATTCTTCAGCTTGTGCTGGTTGTTGTTGTTGTTGTTCCTCTCCTCGCTCATTTTCCCCGACCCCTGTTTCTGTTCCGCGACTTGCTGAATGTTTGTTTCCGGAATGCTGTTCTTGTTGGTTCCTGGCGATGTGAATGAGGACGAGTTCAAGGTGTTGCCAATAACACGTTGCTCATGACGATTGTGTTTCATGGTCAATGTTCCCTGCTGAAGGGGTTTATTATTCAGCAGCGGGTTTTCTGGGCTCGAGGGTGAGTTTTCTTGAATGCTTGAAGTCCGTGGACGGCCCGAGTCCGCCCCGGACGGAAGGGAAAATCTTGGACTGATTCCTGCCGTAATTGTTGCTGATGAGGAATGAGGATGAAAACTTGAGTCCCGAGTGCTGGTGAAATCTTTCCTGAGCCCTGATGGGAAAAGAAAATCGACGAAAAAAACAACGTTGAAAATCATTTTGATGCGAAATTTTGGTGGGACGAAGAGTGGAATTCACGCGGAGAAAAAATGGGCAATGACCTGTGAAATTCAGAAGTCCCGTTTCTTTGTGGGCTTGAAATTTACGTAAAAATATTTAAATTGGCGTTTGAAATATTGTGCAGTGCTAGGATAAAAAACACGTCTGACGTAAGACGCGCCGAAATATTTTGTTTTGCTAAGAATATGAGCCGGGAAATTCCTAAGAAGAACTTTCACTCGGAATCAGTTCCGTGTGATTCACTTTGACTTTTACTCATGCTTCAATCACCAGTATTATCTGCTAAATCTCTTCAAATAAGCAATCTAAATTCTAAATAATATTCGGTGGCATCAACAATGGTAATGCGGCATTGCTCAAGTGAATTCCAGACTTGATGCCATTCAAATGATTACCCACTTCACCCGCGAATCTAGAATGTTATCATACGTGAGGTGTGCTAAAAATCTAAAATGCAAGAGGCAATATCCCAGACAGATTTAGCTTTTTTTTCAGTCACATTCCTTCGCGAAAAAAAATTTGCCTCATCTTATGTATGAAAGAGATTAAGTGAGACAAGCGAATTTCTAGCGAAACATTTTGAAAGCAATCATCAGGGTAATTGTTGTTTCGCATCACAAAAAGCGTTTTGAATAACGTTCAATTCGAAATAAATTTGCATGCACACCTGTATGCTGTTCTGTCCAATTTCACACAGCGGGACTTGGAATGAAATTACGGTAGGATTTGAAAATGCATTTTTGCATGTAAATTTTGACGCAGTAAAACCACATCAATATTCATTGAAGCCCCTGCAAAATTCAAAAGGATAAAGTACTTTGTTTTAAACTATGCAAAGAAGTGACAAGGAGCCAATTTCAGCTCGTTACTGCGTAAGGATTCGGATCTGCAATGAATCCTTGAAAATCACTGCAAGTATCGATTACTCACTTGTAGCACAAAAGCATTTGACTAATGAGAATTATTTAATTATGGTTGTTCAACACAACTTCTTCAAACCACGCAAATACTTTATGTCATTCATTGCAGAGATGTTCGGCCGATAAACTAGGAAAACAATGTCCCATACTAAAATTTTAGGCCCTATATTCTGTACCCTATTTTACAAGAAATAAAAATTTTATTTTCCCCGGATTTTGTAAGCATATGCATTATATAATATAAAACCAATGTTCAAATTCAAAATTAATTCAACTTCGTTTTTATGTATTCTAGGGAAGCGCCAAGTGCACGTGAGGCATGAGGAAATTTTTTTTCAAACCCCTTGCGATATAAGCAATCTATAATTTTTTTGATACAATATTAAATTCTGAATTTATCAGGACAAAAATACTGTAGCGATGATTTTTTAATTACTCGTCCAAATCTTCGGGAATAAATATTTTCACGTCGAATAAATGCTCATGAAATTTACGTTGCAAGAAAGAAAGAAAAGAAAAACAAGAAAAATAGGCAGTAAAAGTATTTTTCAAGGCAAAAAGCTCCTTTTACACGCGAAATGTATCCTGAACTCCAGCATACAAAAAAATACATGCCCCATGTTTATAAATTTAACCTCGTCATTACCGCACTATTTACCAACCGCTTTTGACGGTCGGATGACTACAAAATACGGTAAATAAACAATTGGAGGAAACTAAAAACCATCAAACGATCTGTTTCAACTTGCGTCTGTTTATGATGATGGGGAAAATAACACGACCTGATCTTGGTTACTAATTTTTTTTTTCTTTGGGAATCACATAAAACTTTTTCTTTACATAACTTTTACGAGATTTTGCATCAGGAGAAATTGACGATTGAATTCAATTCCAATGTTTGTTTGCCTGCTTTTAAAAAAAAAAACGCTCACCGTCGGCTGCCCCACAACACACGAGGAATCTGTTGACGAGTCCCATTTCCAAGGGACTTGACAAAATCTTCATGTCAATTCAAAAACTACATTCCTCGTAATTTTCGTGAATGAAAATCTATCATTAATTTTCTCGCTCTTTCTATTATTTTTTTAAAATCCAACAAAAGCTGCGGTTATTCACTCTGACGTCACGGCACGAACTGAAGATATTTCTGTAGTAAAAAGTTCATCATGTATCGCGGAGAAATAACGGGGGGAGGGGGGGTAAGTTAGACGCATTATTCGTCATCGTGAGCTACTCAACTATTCTTTCCGGGAAAAGCTAAGGGACCTGAGAAAGAATTTGAGATGGAAGGGAGAAAAAAAAATATTATTCGTATACAGCCCACTTCTGTTTTTCCGGTGAACTGAAAAGTCACAGCCGGTCTCCGGATTCGGGGCAATCCCCTCTCAGGAGGTAACAAGCAAGGCAAAAGTATACTTGGGGAGTTTTTGTGTACATCCTGTCGTTGTTCTGCTGTCCCTTGTCCCACTATAGTTGATCCTGGTAAACAGGCAATAAACGGGAGGAGGGCGAAGAGAAGGCAAAAAAAAAAAAAGAACTCTCCTCAAGTTTCTGTTTACCAGGGTCATTTTCTGATCTCCTATTTTCTGCAACAGAGCGTTTTTTTCCTTGCGTTTTTACTTGGGAAATGGGACATTATTTCACAGAATGACTACAAAAAGTTAGATATTACTGCTACTGTATGTAGTTGATCATGGTAAACAGACAATGAACGGGAGGAGGGCGAAGAGAAGGCAAAAAAGAATCCTCCTCAAGTTTCTGTTTACCAGGGTCATTTCCTGATCTCCAATTTTCTGAAACAGAGCGTTTTTTTCCTGCGTTTTTACTCCGGAAATCCGACATTATTTCACAGAATGACTGCAAAAAGTTAAATACTGTATTACTGCGGTGCATTTCGAAATATACAGGGAGGACTGTCTCAAAAACAAAATTCGAGGGACCAGAAAATTTGTTGAAGAGAGAATGACCTCCTACGAAGTTGGGAAACAAATTTACGGGATCAAAAAATTGTTGTTAAAGAGAAAATCGTTGTAGACAGGTCGTAGTAAAGAGAGTACACCTGTGTATACCCTCTACAACGATTTAGTCAACGACGATTCTCTCTGCATATTGTTTCACCGTTTTGATAATTTTTTTGTGAACCAGGGTTTTTTACCCTCGAAATAATGTCTACGTGAAATGGTTCTGGTCCCCTGAATTTAGTTCTAAAGAGAGTAAACCTGCATCAATTTTATAAAATAGGCAAAATCCTTCATCCTGCCTGCAAAAGCACTCAAAACTTTTTCGCGGTATAGTATACTGTTTTTGAATTAAACGTGGTCTGTTGATATCGACGTACAGCAGTATTAAAAATCAAGTTTACCGTACTTCATAACCTGGTTTGAAATAAAATTTAAAACATGTTTGTAATTTGAGGTTCATGAGGTTATGGCACAAAAGTTTGTTGATGGAAGTTCTGGAGAACCAGCGTTTATATTGTTTAATTTTCTTCAGCACTTGTTGTATTTTGTTTTAACTCGCCCAAAAAGTATTTTAAAATCAGGAACAATTTATTTTACGACCCCTGTAACAACAGCCGTATTATATTTGATCCCAGTGTACAGTAATCCTCCCTTTTACGATCAGTACATTTTCGTACAGTGTCAATGCTGGAATTATAATATGCTGAATGTTCTTGGGTTAAAATTAAGCTGGTCAAGACGCTATTCAGGTTTGAACAAATATACAGTACATTTATTCCAAACTGAATTTGTATTTTAAAAAGTAGTACTGTAATGAAGAAATGTGCTTCCAGAAAGAATTCCTCAAAGCAGAATGGAGTAGATGTGATGTTTCCTGTCTTTTATTACATGCAATAAATATTTGTCACGGCAGATTTCTACGAATTTTGGATACACAGTAACAATTTCCATGCAGAAACTTTCTTCTTCGGTTTCTAAAAAAAATTGAAACGTCTCCTCTGTTGGACAAAAACATAAGTGCTTCATTTTATTGTTGATAAGTTCAAGGTCAGATCCCGAGCAAAAATAACCACTTTCACGCACTCAAAAATATTTACGAGATTTGTTTCCTTGAACTCTGAAGAAATTGTGGCAGTACTTGGGTTGATAGATGAGCAGTGCTTTATGAAAACAAGGATGCTTGGAAATCTATTTTTAAATGCATCCAATTGAGTCATTCAAGATGAAGTCTTCAAAAATCAGCAATCTTGCTAAATATACATATAAATACTGTAAATAAATCAGATGAAAGAGGATGAAGTAGACTAATTTTTTAAAAACAAAATGCATACAATATGAGCAAGTTGATAATCACATGGGGGAAAATTTGCAATAATGAGATCTTTGATTTACTCTCAGATATTGGATTGATTCAAAGACTCCCAAAACATTTTCTGGTTCTGCCTCAAGTTGCATGATGATGATACTTGAGTTGAGAATTCTCTGCCATTATTTTTTGCCTTCTTTTGCACACAAATATTGAAATAAGGTGTATGACATAATTCCAGAACAATAAACAGATTGAACATTATAAAAAAAGTCATTTTTATTAATTTTACAATAACATAATTCAGTTGCATAATATTTTCAAGAAAAGCAGTAGACCATCATATGGACAAATTACCCCTCCAGGAAATTCAAAATCTCATGGATATTGAGAAACGATGAAAATCGTGTTGCAAATATATATTTTTTTTTCTTCACAAAAATGTATCTGCTGAACTTCGAAATAGAGAGCATTACAGAGTACATACACCCTTGCTTCATCAGAATAATCAGCCTTCACGTCAACATTTAAAGCATTGTTGATTCAATTCATAAATAGTGAAAACAATAAATAATTTATATTCCATCATACAGTTTTCCAAGTAAGGTATTGGGTATAAGCAGAACCCAACAAAAGAACACAAGACAAAGGCGCAGTGAAACAAAAAATTAGCACAAGCAATCAGCCAGTTTGCAGAAGAAACATGTATAAGTCAAACCCCGTTAAACCGTCAACGTTTGTGCAGCAGAATTTTGGCGGTTTAACGGGGTTGGCGGTTTAATGAGGGAAGTGTTTTTAAAAAATAAAAAAAACGTTTCAACCTCTATCCCTCCCCATCCTGCTTTTGGTGAAGATGACTCTTCATTCTTTGTTTTGTGGCAACATAAATCTCTCATTCTTTGCATCTTT